CATCCCTAGATACTATGGGCAATTTACCATGGCCAATTCACCTAACCTGCCTATCTTTGGACTGGAGTACCCAGAGGAAACCCACACAGACACAGGGACAATGTGTAAACTCCACAGACAGTTACCCGAGGTTGGAATCGAACCCAGGTCCCTGGCACTGTGATACAGCAGTGCTAAACAATAAGCCACCATGCCACCCTAATTTGAGTTACTTAAAGCATAAAATAGCAGCATGGGGAAAACTATACCAGAGAGAGTTAATGCCAGAACACAGCCATATTTTGCTGCTTATCTTGAGAATCCTGGGAAGTGGGATGTATCTTAGGAGCAAAAATTGAACAAATTGAACCTTTCTTGTTGGACTTTAGAAGAATGAGAGTTGATCTAATTGAAATGTGTAAGATCCTAAGGAGATTTGATAAGGTAAATGCTGAATGCTCTCTCACATAGGAGTGCTTAAAAATAAAGGTCTCTCATTTAAGTTAGAGATGTGGAGGAGTTTTTTCTTCTGTTAGAAGGTTGTTAGTCTTTGAAATTCTCTTTCCTATTGAGCAACGGCAGCTGGGTCATTGAATATATTTAACGCTGAGTTAGATGTTACTATGAAGGACTCTCCTCTAACCTGAGGTGTGGTAACCCTCAGAGTAAACCCTCAGAGATTACGGCACTATGTGTGGAAGGGGGGTGTTCTTTGTTGTGCGGGGCGCCTAAACAGGAGAGATACCTCCTCAATCTGTAAATGTGTTCATGGGGCATGGTCAACACCACTGGTCTTGAATCAGTGCTAGGAGAAAAATCCCTGAATTGGTCCTAGGCTTTAATTGGCCCAAGGTGAGTATGCAAACCAATGTCACCTTTGCTGATAAAATACTAGTGTAGGCCAGTAGGCGATGGCACCACCACAGAATCTGATTTTACCACTCCCAGTCTGCTCCTGTAGGAGCCTTATAATCCCACCCAAGGTTAAAATTGAAGTAATGAGATAAATAGAAGTGTTACTAAGATGAGCTGTACTTTTTAAGTAGATAAATCACCAGGACCAGATAAGATATATCCAAGGAGGAAAGTAACGGTGATTATTATAGAACTACCAACCATAACTTTTCAGTTTTCCTTAGATACAGAGATAGTGCAAGATGAGTGGAGAATTTCAAAGTTTACATTCTTTTTCAAAAATGAATGTAAGGGTAAATACAACAATTGCAGGCTATTCAGTGTAACATTAGTAGTGGCAAAGCTTTTAGAAATGATAACCCTGGAAAAAAACATCAACAGTCATTTGGACAAGTCAGGATGAACAAAAGGGAAGTCAACACAGATCTGTGAAAGCAAAATCATGTTTAATGCATATAAATGAGTGTTTTAATGAAGAGTTTCAGATCAGCCATGATTCTACTGAATGGCCAAGCAGACTTGAGGGCTCAATGGCCTTCTCCTATTTGTATTTCTTATGGTCTTGTGGTTGAAGATACAGAGGGTTATAATGCAGGTAATGTGGTGGATGTGAGTACAAGAACTTCCAAAAGGTGGTTGCATAACTCCATAGTATTGTCATCAAAGTTAAGCCACGGAATTAGACAAATTACGAATGTACTAGTTGAATGTCAGAAAATTGAGAGTAGTTGTAAATGCTTGTTTTTTTGAAGTAGAGAAAGGTTATTAAAGATTCCTCAAGTACTGAAGCAGTGCACTTGTAGCAAGACATAGACAACATTCAGATGTAGACTAATAAGTGACATGAAACATTCACACCACATAAATGCCAGACAATGGCCATCTATGTTAAGACAGAACTTAACCCTCTCTTCTGGACATTTAATAGCACTACTAGCAATTAATCCTGTGTCAGTAACATCCAAGGGATTAACCACAGACCAGAAACTTAACTGAACCAGCCATTTAAATGTCTTGGCTAAAAGAGCTGGTCAGAGGTTGGGAATCCAGCAGCAATTAACTCACCACCACAATCACCAAAACCTGTCCACCAGTTAGAATACACACATTAGTTGATATGCTCTACTTGCATGGATTAATACAGCTCCAAAAACAGTCATGAACCTTCACACAATCCAGGACCAATTAGCCCACTTAACCGGCATTCTATCACCATCTTCAATGTTCACGCCCCCTACTATCTCCGCACGGTGACTATTGGGTACCATCTACAAGATGCATGACAACAGCACATCAAGCCTCTTTCAACAGCACCTTTCAAACTGCAACCTCTGCCATGTAGGAGGAGGGAAGGTCTCAAATAAAAACAATACCAACTGCAAGTCTTCCTCCAGCCACACAACATCTTGGTTTCAAATGATATTGCCATTCCTTCACTGTCACTGGGTCAAAAACCTGGAAGTCCCTTCCACAGTGCACTGTGGATGTACCTACACCATAACTGCAGTGGTTCAAGAAAGTGGCTATCACCATTTCCAGGGTAATTAAGAATGGCCAATTAATTCTGGCCTTAACAGAAATGCTCATATCTTATTACAGGAAAAAAAACTGTGAAGTTTCCCAGGGGTTAATACTATGACTAGTTTGCTTGTTCCTTCTCACTAACTAAGGCTCTTCAACTCCTTCTGTATTGATAAACTTTATTTACATCTGCATATGGCCAGTTCTCAAACACAGCTAATATGTCGAAAAACCTCAGTCTTCACAGAATGTTCTAGACTGGTGGCTTCTCTCTTACAATGACAGAGTCACATAATTAGTTACATCACCATAATTTACATTATCCTGACCTACATTATTCCAGTTGTTTGCTTTTACTGTACTTACTTACATAGACTTTGTGCTCTCTGATGTCCTCAAGAACATCATTTCACCACTTATACCACCTCTCCCTAAATTCCAAATTTCCCAAGGTGACTGGATACCCTGATCTGGTTCACATGAGTTTAACACGAGGGTAATGAAGTTGTACCATATCTGGAGTAGTTATATCACTCTATACATTGTCTAATATAGTATCAGCAAGGCTAACCTTCATTCTGTAAGAATCAAGATCAGCTTCACTTCTTGTCTACAGAAAAATTAATGTCTTCTTGTTCCTCCTGAATATCCCTTCAGGCGTTCTGACAATATAAGATCATCGTTGATCTGCTTCTTTGATGATTGTGGCTTCTGACTTCCAGTTACTTAACCAGACTTTCAGCCAGAGCTTTGAGGTTGACAGTTGTTTTGTACACCATCTCTACTTCTTGCTGCAGCATTTCGCTAGTTGTTTTAGCTTCTCAAGATGATAAGAATGTATGTTTGGCATAAAGTTGTGTTCTAAAGTTGATTATCAGCTTTTAGTCTTCCATTAATAATTTCACTGTCACTTATTTCCAACGGTTGTGTTGTAACTGAGTAGAGTTAATTCCTCATTTGGATTTTTATGCACTGGTGACTTCACAGTCCTGACGTCTCTTTCTGCCCTTCCATTTGACTGGGGATAGAGTGGATAACTTGTCATCTGCTTGAAGTCTGCTTTCAAAGTGAGTTTCCTGAAAACCTTGTTCACAAGTTGGCCCAAATACTAATTCTCCCAAGAAACTGTGCATCACAAAGATTTTTTTCATTGCTCTGATCACTGCTGTGTTTAAATTAGGTTTTGCTACTTCAGTCTATCTTGAATAATAGACGTCTAGAAGTAAATACATCTTCCCTCTAAAATTGAGCAAATCTATTGCTGGCATTTCCCTTGGCATTTTGGAAACCTGGATGAAACAATCGGTTTTAGAAGCACTTTGCCATGTGTTGCACATATTTTCAGAATGAGATGTAATCCCATTTTTATTTCAAAATGCCTGGCCATAATGATTGTTGTACTCTTACTCTGCACTTTGTGATTAATCAAAAACCCTATGGAATCTCTGTATGATTTGTCTTTATATAAATGTTAGAGATAAACAATTTATGGTCATATATTTTCCACTATTATGTGTTATTTCAGCCTGTTTCAGCATTTGGTCTGCTGGACCATATTCCAAACACCCTTGTAAACAGATTCATCCAACCTTTGTATATTCCTTGTCAGATGTTTGAGGTGGGCAAAATTTGACTGAGTTTTCCCTCAATTATCATAGAGCCAAAGAATTAGCTGGATTTTCTATTTTTCTTTCAGATTTCCAACATGTGAAATATTTTGCTTTTTGTGCTAACCAAAGTTCTTAATTGCCATACATTATTGTGCAGGCACAGTTTGATCAATTTGTTCTTTCTTATATGTGTAATGCCTGAAGATAGTGTTTCACTTATGAATATGAATCACTTTAAATTAATTCTGTGTTATAAGCTTTTGTCAAAATTAGATTTTGATTAGGCAAAGGAAAGGTATAAATGTTCCATTAAACTGACAGACAGCCACTGCAGACCTACAATTTGAAATAAATTTAGCATATAATTTAATGCTGTGCAAATAAACTATCTGCAGTTATCCAGGAAAGGAGATATGACATCAACAGTCACTCAGAAAATTTGTTTTGACTTTTGATTTAAAAGAGCAATACACACAATGGATAAAATGTTCCTTCACTCTTTTAAATAATTTAAACTAATTCAATATTTGCTCCAGAAATGTCAACCTTTTGTGAGCTGACAGACACGAATAAGTGTCAAAATATTGTGGCTGCTTTTGTCTACTATTGCATATAAAGAATTTCAAGCAATTCATCAAAGCCAAAAGTATGTGAACTAATAAAAAAAACTTGGCTGCAATACCTTTGAAATGCTTGGATTATTTCTAGCCATTAATTGCAATATGTTCATCTGACTTGTTTAAGATCTGATCGTTCAATGGGCTGTTCAGAGTTTGATAAAGGGATTTCATCAAAATCATACAAGTATTATGTATGAAACAGACTACCATTCAGATTATTTTCAACTAATTTTGTACTAGCTTTAAATTATTAAGATTAACACTTTTCTACATCTGGTGAAATAACTGATGTATTTAGTTTGCAACTTGTATGACTTTTAACTTGAGGTAAAAAGCATCTAAGACAACCCCTTACCTCAAATTCTGCATGCTTATGTACATCTTCTGCCCTCTGTCGATTCAGAATGAACTCCGCCTCATTAGCCACTCTAACTATGTGGTCCTTCATTGCATGGCATAACAACCTTTAAAAGAGAGAGAATATCATAAGGCTCCCTTTAATCTCGTATGCTTGACAATGCTACTTTGTTTGGAGAATAGACATATATTCTGCAGACAACTGCCTAAAGCTTAACTGCGTCTATATAGTACATACATTCACAAAACTCAGGAGATTGTTCAGTATAATACAAATAAAACCTCTCTTTGTTACAGAAATTATGACTATTGACAGATATATGGGGGGTGGGGTGGGGGTGGGGATGGTGGCTTACTGCCAATAGCAATCTGGAGACCCAGACTAACGATTTCAGGACATGGATTCAAATATCACCATGCATTTGATAGAACTTGAATTTAATTAATGAAAATAAAAATCTAGACTATAAAGCTAGTCTCAGTAATATGACCATGAAACTGCCGTCAAGTTTATTAATGCTCTTTAGAGGGGGCAATCTGCCAACCCTTACCCAGTCTGGGCTCTATGTGTCTCCAGACCACTACAATGTGGTTGACTCTCAGTCTTACTCAGAAAAGACATAGCAAGCCACTTAGCCACCAATCTGCCCTTGGATGTGATGAATAAAAAAGAAAGCAAAACAGATGAATTATGCTATTATAATTTTGAATTATTCTTTAAAGTGTTGAATTAAACAACTGTTTAATTGGCTACCATTAAATAGAAGGCACATTTTTCACGATTAACAACATCCATTGGTGGAAACAAGCACTTTATGATAAAATAAACACTAAGAAGACCAGTACAAAAAAAATGCCCCTTTTAGTTACATAGGGAGATAATTTATGTGACGCTACTTTCAATAGGATCAAGAATGAACAGTTGAAAAGTACTGGACAACATTAATGACACTTAAAATTATCAAATGGCATATGCTAGAAAACTGAATTTCAGTCCCCTAACTGTAATTATATTTTTAAAAAAATTCATTTATCCAATATGCATATTTATCATTAATTTCAGCAACCATCTCATTCTTATTTTATTCTGTTACTGTGTAGAGATAATATGTAATTTTACACACCATTAAATATACATTGTTATAATTATGAAGGTGCTTTTTTTATTTCTGTAATGATTCTGATCTTAATTTCTAGTCAACCCTCAAAGCACTTAAACCACTGCACATTCATCAACTGTTTATGCCCTGTTAATTGTAGACAACTGCATAATTAAATTCTTAATCTATGATTAATCTACAACGAATAACTATCATTTAGATGCTTTCTTGGTGATTAGAATGATTACCTTTCTTCTCCAGTCTATCTGAAAATTCTTTGTTGCAATTACCATGCTGAAAATATGCATACAGTGTAAGATTATTTAAGCGAATTAATTAAAAACAGAATTTTTGTCATATTCAATCTAAAAAGGTCATATTGACCAGTTGATTTATCAATCATGTCATAGTAAATTTTTAAATAATGAAAGAGGCTACATATTTTTCATTTTTTCTGAACATACACTGAAATGGAGTTGGACTGCTATCACTGAAATACCATAAATGTTTTGTGCAACTTGGAAATTGAATACTGCATACTAAGCTTTACAATACAATGTTGTTTTCTCAAAGCATGAAGAGAGAATTTGAGACTAAACGGCAGCAAAATTCTTTTAAGTTAAGGTCATTCTGCCTGGCAACAGCCCTTTGATTGGTTGAAATGCTGAGTTTTAAAAAAAACCATAAGTGGTAACAGCAGCAGACTGACAACATCCAAAATCTGCAAACAGAAAGCAGACCTCTTTCTGTCCGTGTGGGGAAAAAACACAGAAAATCCAGAAAGATTAAGAGGAAGAATTCATACTAGAAAAGACCTAAGTTGGCCTGATCAACCATTAAAACGAAGGTTGACTGTCACCCTGGAGGCTGCACCATTTCATCATCACAAAAATCAAAAGAACTGAGAGAGAAATAACTTTCTACTTTGTGGTCTGAACTTTAGATCTTTGGAATTTTTGTTTGCCTTGATACTATATAGTTATTACTTACAGTATGTATCACCAATAGTTAAATTGTTTGCCTTTTGTCTGTCTGAATCTTGAGTGACTGGGTGAGGGTTTTGGGGTTACAGTTTAATTAGCACAACTTAGAAATCCCTTCTTTCTCCTGAGATAACAAAGTGTAGAGCTGGATGAACAGTCCAGACCTGAAACATCAGCTTTCCTACTCCTCTGATGCTGCTTGGCCTGCTGTGTTCATCCAGCTCTACACCTTGTTATCTCAGATTCTCCAGCATTGGCAGTTCCTACTATCTCCTTCTTTCTCCTGCTCTTTTTAAAATTAAATGTGTTACAATAATAGAGATATTTTTCAGATACTGAAGAAAACATAGTGTGAATTGCTTTTGTCTCAAACAGCAGTCAATTAAGCAAATTGGAGGTAGCAAGAACTGCAGATGCTGGAGTCAGGGTCAATACAGTGTGGAGCTGGAGGAACACACCAGGTCAGGCAGCATCAGGGGAGCAGGGAAATCGACGTTTTGGGTTTAGACCCTTCATCAGAACTCGTTTGTCATCTAGACGTGTACAGAATTAAACAAATTGGTCATTTTGGCAGTCTCATTGAGATTTTATACATTTTGAAATAGCCTGTGGTACCGTAGAGCACAACTATTAGTGCACTCTTCCCAGTGAGGACGAGAGGACGGTTGTGGATCTTTGTCTCACTACTGTGTAACTTTGATAAAAGCTGATTATTCACATATTTATGAACTTTACTGAACAAATTTTAATTTAATGGATATTCTTATTGCTCAATGAAACTTCCCACCACTGTTTTGGATGCATATTTTAAAAGACAATTAAATTATCTCCATTCAAGCTTTATGGTTTTTAACCCAGAATTTGTCATCTCATTTAGAATTAGAAGAAATATTTGAACATGGATTTTAAAGTGAATGAAGAATAAACCTCTCTGCTTATAGGTCACATGGAGTCTACAGCAATAATTATTAATTTGAAATCTGAGAGTTTGTTAGTTAAAATTATTAGCCGCTGACTGCAGTAGCTCGGACAGTAGCTTGCTCAAGTGATTCTGCACTAATATGCTGTTACCTATTGTAAAATACACAACACATATTCCCTAACAGATGGGATAGCAGATGCATTTACAGCCTAAGCTCCCTTTATCTTTCATTTGAAACATCCCTGCTGTTTCAGCAGTTGTCCACAAATGAAATGAACAAATTAATGATGACACATTTTTCAGTATTTTATGGAAAAGAGTAACTTTTTTTAAAAAATGCTGGGTGTTAGGCAGTGAGTTCCAGGACATAGCCCCAGCAACAGTGCGGGAACACTGATAGACTTCCAAGTTAAGAGAGTGGTTTGGAGGAGGAGTTACTGCTGCAACTGCTGCACTTGGCATTCTAGGTGGCAAAGGTCAAGCGTTTGGAAGATGCCGTCAACAGAGTCCCAGTAAGTTAATGTAGTCAATCAAGTAGATGGTACACACTGCTACCACCATGTGTCACTGCTGAGGGGGATGAATTTTTAAGGTGGAGGTGTTCAAATGAAACAAGATGCTTTGCCCTGGATGGTGTGGAGTTTTATGAATGTTGTTGAAACTGCTCCCATTCAGTCAAGTGGACATAGTCTACACTTTTCTGATTTTTGATTCGTATGAGGTAACCAGACATTGGGGAGACTGAAGACGAGTTACTTGCTGAAGAATTCCTGGGGTCTGACCTGCACTTGTAGACACAGTATTTATATGGGGATAGGTGGGAGGAAGAACAGGTTAGAGAGGCGGGGACGAGCTGGGCTGGTTTTGGGATGCGGTAGGGGGAGGGGAGATTTTGAAGCTTGTGAAATCCACATTGATACCATTGGGCTGCAGGGTTCCCAAGCGGAATATGAGTTGCTGTTCCTGCAACCTTCGGGTGGCATCGTTGTGGCACTGCAGGAGGCCCAGGATGGACATGTCGTCTGAGGAATGGGAGGGGGAGTTGAAATGGTTCGCAACTGGGAGGTGCAGTTGTTTATTCCTCCCACCTCAAGCCGCACCCCCATCTCCTACCTACAAACCTCATTCCGCCCCCTTGACCTGTCCGTCCTCCCTGGACTGACCTATCCCCTCCCTAACTCCCCACCTACACTCACCTTTACTGGCTCCATCCCCGCCTCTTCGACCTGTCTGTTTCCTCTCCACCTATCCTCTCCTCCATCCATCTTCTATCTGCCTCCCCCTCTCTCCCTATTTATTTCAGAACTCCCTTCCCCTCCCCCATTTCTGATGAAGGGTCTAGGCCCGAAACGTCAGCCTGTCTGCTCCTATGATGCTGCTTGGCCTGCTGTGTTCATCCAGCTCTGCACCTTGTTGTCTCGGATTCTCCAGCATCTGCAGTTCCTACTATCTCTGATTCAATTTATATGGCTTGTTCAGTTCAGTTTCTGGTCAATACTAGGATGTTAATAATCATGGACTCAGCATGGTAATGTTATTAAGCATCAAGGGGGACTGGCTAGATTCTCCTTTGTTGGAGACAGTCGTTGCTTGGCTTGTGTGACACAAATGTTACTTGCCATTTGTCAGCCCAAACCTGGATGGTCTAGGTCTTTCTGCATCTGAACTTGCTTCAGTATCTGAGGAGTCGAACACTGTGCAATGTTCAGCACTAATCATCAGTAAACATCCCTAGTTCTGTCATGTGATGGAGGGAAGGCAATTGATGAAACAATTGAAGATGGTTTGGCCTACAACACTACCCTAAGGAACTCCTGCAATGACATCCTGGAACAGAGATGATTGACCTCCAACAACTACAATCATCTTCCTTTGTGTCCCATATGACTCCAACCAGAAAACAGTTTTCCCTTGATTAACAACAACTCCAGTTTTACTAAGGTACCTTAATGCTGCACTCAACTGAATGCTTCCTCAATATAAAGACCAGTCACTCATACCTCACCTCTGCAATTCAGCTCTTTCATCAACTGCAATGAAGTCAGGACAGAGTGGCCCCAGTGAAACCCAAATTCAGCATCAGTCAGCAGTTGGCTTTTCGTGAGTGGCACTCGACAGCGCAGTAAACGACCTCTTCCATCATCTTGCTGATGATGAAGAGTATGCTGACAGGGTGATATTTGGGTCGCTTGGATTTGTGATGGCAGGACATACCTGGGCAATTTTCTACAATGTCAGATAGATGCTAATGTTGCAACTATCCCGAAACTGCTTGGCTATTGATGCCATTTCAATATAGTTGCTAAAAAAAACTAATAAAGTTAAGATTATTTTAAATTCACAACGGTGAACTATTCTGTTAATGCCAAGGCTGGAGGTGTGCACTGCCGCTATCGTCCTAGTAATTCACAGGTCACAAAATAAAAGAAAAATACCAGTTACCAAGCTGGTCTATTAAATACTTTGTCTACACAAGGTTTTAAATTTAAAAAAGAGCAAGTATCTCTTATAAGCATAATTATTAAAAAGAATGATAAAAATCAAAATATTAAAAGAAGATGCAATAACATATAGAGTCCATATGGAAGTATAAATGTTTATCCCTTCAAATAACCTAAAACTTACATAACCACAAATACTCTGTTTTTAGGAAATGAAGAAATAAAAATGGATTTCTCTCTTTAGAGGGTCACATTGTAGAAGAATCACTTTCCAGCCAGTATAGTTATTTTTGAAGTTTTGAAGTAAATTTTCTTAATTCTGTTGTTCTAATGTTCTGGCATGTGTGGTAAAGTCACTGATCATACAAGCTGTCTCTCAAGATATGAAATAAAAAGCTTGCTCAGGAATACAATAATGAAAAAGTCCTTCAATCACTCTCCCAGAAGAACAAATAGGTGCTGCACTCTTTTAAGAGACCCTCTTGATTTAAACAACAGACTGTTTTTTGATTCTTTATTCGATAAGAGCTTTTGTTCAGCAATAGGAGAGGTCAGCAGTAAACCCTTGCTCACAGTATTCTTGTTCCAAAATAATTCCAGATACCAAAGTACTGTCCATTCAAACACTGTTCAAACAGTTTCAGCAAGGGTGTATGGCAACATAAGAACAGAAGAAATGGAAGCCCCATTAAGCCATTCGGCCCCTCAAGCCTGTCCAAACATTTAATAAGATCATAGCTAATTTGCCTTAGGCTTCAATTATTCTTAAGTGCCAGCTCCTCATAGCCCTTATTGCCTCAATATTTCTAAAATCTAGCTGCCACCTCTTTAAATAGTTTTAATGATCTAGCCTCCATACCTCTCAAGGGTAGAGATGTCCTGACATTCCCACTGAAACAAGAAACTTCTTAACATTTCAGTTTTAAATCAGTGTCCCCTTATTCTGTAGTTTGAGACTTTCCTACTAGTGGAAACATCTTCTCAACATCTACACTGTCAAGACCCTCTAATCTTTCATTTACATTTCAATAAACACACCATTCATTCTTCTAAATTCTAATGAATGAAGGCCAAATCTGTTAAACCATTCTAGATTAGTAAACCCCTTTCTCCCAGATCAGTTTAGTCAATCTGTTTTGAACTACCTCCAATGTTTGCATATCTTTTCTTGTGAACAGGGACCTTCAGTACTCCATGTGCAGCTCACCAACACCTTGTGCAGTTGTAATAAGACTTGTCTTAGCAATAAAAACCAAAATTCCACTTGCTTTCTTAATTTTCCGCTGCATCTGTATGCTAACGTTTTACGTTTTATGCACAAAAACACCCAATCCCAAACACCTGTAGTGTTACACTTTTTGGGAGTCTCTCTCCACTTAAAGACACTGCTTTTTTAATTCTTCCTACCAAACTGCATGATCTCACACTTTCCTACATTAAATTCCATCTGCCAAGTGTTTGCCTACTTGCTCAACCTATCCATGTTTCTTGCAGATTCCTTATGTCCTCATCACATCAAGACTTCCCACCTGTTTTGATACAAACTTTGATACATAATATTGTCCTTTCCTCCAAGTCACTAATATAGATAAGAAATAATTGAGGCCCCAGTGGCACCCCACTAATGAAATCTACCCAACGTGGGGAAAAAAACATTTAATTCCTACATTGTATTTTGTGTGGTAACCAATCCTCACTCCATGTTAATACAATGAGCTAAAAACAATGAGCTACCATTGTGTGCAATATCCTTTTAGGTGTCAACTTATTGAAAATTCAAAATACACTGCATCCATTGGTTCTCTGTTATCAACTCTCCTTCTTATTATCCTCAAAGAACTCTAACAAATTTGCCAAACGTGGTAAGAAAAATCAAGCAATTATCACGAGTTATGTGGTTTCTAGGAAGCCATGTTAAACAGAATCTCTAATGCCAACAGTGACTTTTTCATGGTCTCCTTTTGATGAAATGATTCAAATATTTCCACAAAATTTGAAACAAATCAAATTTTGAAAGATTGTGGAAAAATTGTCTTTTTTTTGGCAGATGTGAAGAAAACAAAGGAAGACTTCCCTTGATAATATCTGGTGCTTCTAGTGCTCCACATCACAGCAAAACGGAGATTTTAAACTTGGTTACCTTCCTTCATTGATAAGTTCAATAAATGCCAGTCCTGCATTCTTCTGAATGGAATTCTGCCATTCCTGGAAAAACAGACCAAAATAATATGTTACTTCATAAAACTACTTAAAATGTTAATATCAAATGTATACAGCACATAATCCTAAAGACAAGCCATAGCTAAAATATTTCTGAATTTCCATATCTAAATTAATTAGACGTTTCTAAAATAAATTTCTACTAACTACTATTGACATACTCATTAAAAATCCTTTTAAACTCACAATTGCTTAAAATTGAAATCAATTCCAAATTACTGCCTCAACTGAAGTTGTGTCTTATTGTTTTCTTAAATGTTATTGACAAGTATTCATACTTTTAGGTTTAAGAAATCCATGCATTGTTGAAGAGGTTGACTGAAGAAAGTCTGCAGGAAGAATTGTTTTAAGGTAAGAAAACGATATAAAGCATTTAATCCACTTGTTTTCTTCCAGAAAACAGCACCCTTATCAATTGCAAAAACAACTTGCACATGCAAAGCACCTTTTGTACCGGAACAAATCATTCCAGAAGGGTTTAACACATGCCTAAATAAAGTAATACATTTTAACAGCCAAGGAATGAAAGATTAGATAGGAAACTTGGGCAATAAATAGATCACAGTAGGATTTTAGTAAGGATAGAGATGTGGGCAGGTAGAATGGTATTGAAAAAGATTTCCAGTGTGGCATAGTTGGGTAAAGTCACAGCTGTTAGTTGTAGGTTGCATGTTAAAGAGAAATTCAAAGGAGGTCAGATTGGAAACAATAGACATTTCAGAGAGGTGTGTTAGCAGTATAGGAAGTCACAGACCAAGACAGCGGAGAAATTTAAGCACAAGCAAGAGAATATCAAATTGGAAACAACGAAGTACCAGGCGCACAGCATAGTGATAGGCAAATGGTATTTTGTGTTAGAAAGGAATCATTGAAAATGGAAGTGGCAAATACATTGATGAGAATTTTAGTAACAAATGAGCTGGGTTAAGTGCACAGTTAGCCAATTTTATGGAGCACAGATGGAAGCCACTCAACTTATCACTCCTGCAGTGGCTAAGAAAAGAGCTTTCCAACCGAGTTCTACTCACCTACTCTTGGTTGCAGCCCTGAATTCTATGGCACTTCAAATGCATATCTAAGTATTTTCAAATGTGATAAGGATTTCTACTTCTACCATCCTTTCAGGAAGTTCATTCTAGACCTTCATTACTCTCTTGTTGAGAATAAATTACTCTTTCCTCCTCTCTAATCCTTCTGTTAATTACTTTAAATCTATACCCCCTAGATTTTAGCCTGTCTGCGAAGGGAAATAGATTCTTCATATCCACTTTATTTTGGTCACACATAATTTTATACATCTCAAATAAATCTCACATCAGCTTCAGCTGTTCCAAAGGAAACAACCCCAGTTTAGCCAATTCAATCCTTTCTCATCGCTAAAATTCTTCATTTTGAGGAATGTCCTCAGTACTCTCGTTAGTGTGATCATATTATTTGTGTAATGAGGTGACTATAACTGCATGCTGTACTCCAGCTATGCCAACAAGTATGTTATACAATACTATTATAATGTCCCTCTTATTTGCCATGTTTCAACTAGTAAAGTATCCAAAATTATTTCCAAAGTAGCTATCTATGTGTCCTGCTGCTTTCAGTGGATATGCCCTCTCACCCCTCAGTTCCTCCACACTTTACAGTATTTTACTATTTACTGTGTATTGCTTTAAGTTGTTTTCCCTCTCTAAATGCATTATTTCATATTTCTCCTCACTGAATTCTCTTCTGCCAACCTTAATAGTTTTTTGATACCTTTCTAAAATCCACTGTGTTCTTCCTCACCATTAATCTCACAAACATAATGTAAATTGCTAACTTATTAACCATGCATCTAGATTTTGAGTGTAAATGTACCCTATGAGAAAGTAAGAGGCATGGAACTAAGCCCTGCATAACCTCAACAGAAACAGCATCCAGTCACTACAAAAGATTCTGTCAACCAGTAGCTTTTCTTCCTCCCATGTAATCAATATTGGATATAACTTATAATTCCCCACGGAATCTTAATTTTCTGACTAGTCTGTAGGTCAGCACATTGTCAAAAGCGATGCTAAAATTCATGCAAACTACATCCAAACATGCTACCATCATCAACCCACATTACCTTCTCGAAAAATTCAACCATCAGTCTGACATCTTTTACAAGTCCACCTTAACTGTCCTTCCCCACCTTTTTAAAATGTATAATTAATACTGTCATTCAGAAATATTGCCTTTAATTTGTCTATCGTTGGGGGTTGATGGCTGGACCTGTAATTACGTGGTCTATTCCTTCCTCTCTTTTTAATAGGTACAATGTTAATATTTCACCACAGGAGACCATTCAGCCCATCAAATTCACGCTCACTTTCTGCAAGAATTACTTACTTACAGTCATACAGCATGGAAACAGGCTCTTCAGTCCAACTCATTCATGCTAACCAGGTTTCCTAAACTCAGCTAATGCCATGTACCTGCATTTGACACATATCCCTCAAAACCTTTCGTATCCATGCAAATGTCTTAGTCCCATGCTCCCTTGTACTTCCCAGTATCCCTACAAATTTCATCTCTTCCATTGCTTACCCAATTCCCTTTGACAGTCAAGAATAAATTCAACTGGCAAATCCTCAGTTGAAAAGAAAGGAAGGAAAATGAAAAGCACCACTATCAAAGCTATCTTCATCAGAACAGATATGACAGAGCTGGAGGAACTAGAAGAATGGAATGGAATGGAACAGAACAGAATGGAATGGAACAGAACGGAATTTAGTCCTTTCAGGAAGCAGGGTGTGAGAAAGAATAGTGAATCGTGCAATTAGGTGAGTTCTTAATGAATATTAGGAAAGAGTGCATCCCTAGAAATCTGCCATCACCACAGAGAAGTCAAGGAAGAGAAGGCAGGAATCAGCGATGGACCAAGTGAAAACAAAAACATATGAATTAGAAGCAGGAGAAGGATTTCAACCACTTGAGCCTGTTCTGCCAATTGGGTAATCTGATTGTAACCTCAAGTCTGCATTGCTGTGTACCACTTTATAACTTTTCACCCCTTGGTTAACAAGAATCTATCTATCTCTGATTTTTAAAAAAAATCAAGGACTCTGCTTCAACCAGTTTTTCAGAAAGAGTTCAAAAGACTCAGTTCCCTCAGAGAAAAACATTTTGGCTAATCTCCGTGTTAAAGGGTGACACAGATTTTTAAATAGTGACCCCTAGTTCTAGATTCTCCTGTAATTTCTAATTATAAATGGCATGAAGGATTATGGGTATGGGCTGAGTAGAAGACAATGAAGTATTCAGTCAGCCATGACGTTACTGAATGCTGAACCTGTTCCTATCAGAGAAAACATTCTCTCCACAGTCAACCTACCAAGATCCCTCAGGATCTTACACGTTTCAATCATGTCATATTTTATTCTTCTAAACTCTAGTGGATACAAGCCTAGCCTGTCATACTTTTCCTCAGAAGACAAACCACCCATTTCAGGCATTAGTCTGGTTAACCTTCTGTGAATTTGCATCCTTCCTTAAAATTGGTGACCAATACAGCTCTCCAGCTGCTGTCTCATCAGTGCCTGTATACCTAAAGGTAAGTGTACGGTGGAAATTGCAAGAAAAATTGATGAATTTGTTCAATTCCAGCCGAAAGCAGGAAGCTGATCTGATACAATCATTGCTGTATCTGAAAAACAGTTGTGGAGTCCAGCCCAGAGGATGCTTCAAACAAGGAATGATCCACAAACACGACAAAAAGACAGGCAAGAAAGGGCCCATGCAGGTATCCAAGGAGGATGGAGGAAAGTTAAAGGAGAAACTATTACAAGCTCAGCCAGATGAAGGATAGTGGTATTTGTGTATTGGTACTTTACGGCCACCATTCAAGGAAGAGGCAGAGGGAACATAGAGCCCTTCTTGAGGGCATAGGATTTGATGTCCAAAGTGAAGTGCAGGCAGCCTGAACCAGGAAACTGGAAATTGTTGACATGACATAGAGTGTCAGAAGAATCATGATTGAAGGTGGGAGTGACCGAACAAGGGGAAAAGTAGAATTAGAATAGAAAGAAATAAGTTCAGTCGGACAGTGACAAGTTGAATTGATGATTCTGCCACGACAGTTCTGATTGTGGATTCTGGGAAGAAAGTAGAAATGGGCTGTACAGGGTGGGGGATTATAAGTTGAGAAGGTGTGTAGGGAAGATCTTCAGACGAAATGAGGTCAGTAATAATGAAAGAATTAATGGCTTGATATGTTCAGTGATGGGGTTATGGCCCAGGAGGAGACAGAAAAAATATGTAAGAGTTGGCACCCAGCCTCTGCAACTCTACAGCACCACCCTAGTCAGCAAGTTTGATGCTAAGATCAGGGTTAGATTTGAGAGAACAGAACACAGCAAATTCAGAAGACAAAACATTAGAATGGGTGAGGGGAACAGGAAAATTGAGGGTCTTGATGTCATACCACCAGTTTTCAATGAAAAGATCAAAAGCACGTAAGAAGTCAGAGGTAGGGGTCCAGGTGGAGGAGAGTACTGGAAATGAGAGAAGGGCTCCATTCGGTGGGGAGAGGATGCTTGCTAATTCAAGTAGGCAAGGCATGAAAAAGACAGAAGAAGAGTTCAATGTCATGTCACGTCCAAAATTCACTAGGTTGAAGGTGTAATTGTATAAGAACACTGGGTAGAAGTAGGAGTAGGCCATTCAGCCTGACAAACCTGCTCTACCATTCAGTGCAATCATGGCTGTCCATTATTTTAAAATTGTGTTCCCTGGTTCTAGACTCCCAAATAGAGGAACATCGTATCTGTATCTACCCTGTCTATCCCTTTTATTTAATAAGTTTCAATGAGATCATCTCTTATTCTTCAATACTCTAGAGAATACAGGCTCAGATTCCCTAATCCTCATTCTTCTCAGAACAGCCCCGTCATCCTGAAAACAAGACTAGTGAACCTTCATTACACTCCCTTATGGCAATAGTACCCTTCCTAATGGGACGAAAAGTGCAC